ACATGAATAATATTATGTAAGGTTAACTTATTATGATTATGTAACATTTTTATTTTGATGTCTATACACATTTGTAATTCTGTTCTTACTTGCTTCATTCTTTTATTGTCTGTCCTGGAACCACTCATGTGGATTTGCAGTTCGACTAACCAATTCATTTTGCCATTCAACTGCGCCCTCGTTGGTAAAGTAGTTTTTATATCCATGTCTTACAGAAGCTGCATCTTTAGAGTAGTTATTTGAACCACTTTGAGAAATTGGCTGAAGGCTACCAAAATCAGCTCTGTTTTGTCTCCATTCACCAGCCTCAAACCCTGATGGTCCATCATGGTCAACAAAGTTTCTTGGGCAATATCGATTGTTTGTTGATGAATTTTTAAACATCAGTAGATTGTGCAGTGCAACAATAGCTTTTGTGATAAGTATTACTTTGCTTACATTGGCAATGATTGGTCTTCTCAATACTCGAAATCTACTGGCAGCAATCCCGAAAGTGTTTTCAATCACCCTCCTTGCCCTTGATAACCGATAATTAAAGACACGTTGATCAAGTGACAAATTATGTGATGGGAAGGGCTTCATCATATGTGTTTTGAGTCCAAATGCATCGTCTGCAACAAATACAAATGGAAGTCGTTTTTCTGAGTTGGGCAGCTTTGCAGGTCCAGGGATTTGCAATAGATTATTTTCAATAGCATAACCTAAATTACTACAATTATACACACTTCCATCACTCTGGCGACCACTATCTCCTATATCCACCAGAGTGAACTTATATCTTGCATCGCAAATTGCCAAAAGGGCAATGCTAAAAGTTTTTTTGTAATTAAAAAAGGAAGATCCTGATTTTGCTGGTGCTTGCATGGCCACATGTTTCCCATCAAGGGCTCCCAAGCAATTCGGAAAATTCCAAAATCTTGAAAATTCTTCGGCTATAGATTTCCATTCCAGTTCTGTTGATGGGTTTTTGATGAAGCCTTTTGCGCTGAGTACTTTCCATACAACTTCACAAGTCTCACTGATTATTCTCCCAACAACTGTGGGACTCATACGGAGGCTTGCTGATATCGTTTACTTGGGCATCACCCGTCACCAGGTATCTTAAACAAACAGACAATCTTTCACTTGGTTGGATAGCTTTCTTCATTTTCGTATCGTTTTTCTGAAGAAACGGGCCAAACCAATTCAGGAGCTCTTCAAACAGTGTAGGAGTCATTCTAAAACACCTGAAAAAATATTCAGCATCGTGTAGTCTCAGTTCTTTGATCAAAAGATGATACTCCCCCTTCCGCTCCCGTTCTTCATAGATCTTCCTTATCCAAAACCTTTTCTTGTACTTTTGCAACCTTCTCTCACGTCTTCTTAGCAGCAAAATTTTGATCAATAATCGAGCTTTCAGTAGCAGTAGATACCTGAGATTAACAGCGGCCATCTTTGAAAAGCTTTTCGCACCAAAAAACCAAAACTCGCTGGAGCTTCTGTGGAAAACAAAAACGCGTTCGATCGATTTTTTTCGCCGCGAAAAATTCGCTTCGCGCGAATAAATTCGCCTAGTGGAAAACGGCCGTTAGGGAGGATTGGCTGAATTTGGTGGCCTTTCTAGCTTTACTAGCACACAACACTGGTATCCTCCGAAGAAGAATCATCAATCCTCGTCGAGCGAACGATGTGAGGGAAAGGACTAGGACCATCCTGGGTGCAGAATACTTGTTCTCTTCAGTGTCCTGGGAATGAAGATTGCATTTGATCAACACAGCTTGGAGTTTGGTTTGAGAGACATATTGCCTTGAATCAAAGGTAAACTAAATTCTTTATTTTTTCATTATCTTTACAATGTATAGTATTTAAAGGCAGAAACTTTCACAGACACGAGCCTGGCCTACTGGCCTAAAGCAAACGGGATACTAGCCTGATAAACAGACCTTACTATGTGTAAGTTTCACTAGATTGGCGAACTCTATTTCATTAAATTGGTGGGAAAAGGGAAAGACTGAATCGTGATTATATTTTTCTATCACAGGTGCTCGTGTACAAAGTGCTCAACATAATCGCTTATCAGACAAGGAAGTACTGCTGCAGCCGAGAAATAAACGAGACGTAGGACACGCTCACATCTGATGGTTTATCAAACAGGCATGAATAACGGTGTAACAGAATAAAACCTCTTCAAGGATCTTGTTCACAAAGAAGTTCTCCTCCTTGCCGGCTCATATTTCAAGGACAAGACTCAAAGTCAGTACAAACTGCCAGTGGCGTAGCTAGCCAAATAGCAGTGGTCATGCCCTCCCCTCAAATTTGAAAAAATATGGGTGTGGCCAAATTCTGCCACGCTCAATTTTTTGAGTTGATGAGTTCCTTTTCGAACCTTTAATTTTAAGGCTTATAACCTATAAAAAATGTTTTTGATGAACCTTTGGAATGAGCTTTTCTTATTATATAGGAATCATCTTGTTACACCATGAAATGACTTTTGTATCTTATAGCTGTGACACTGTTTTGGTTTGTTGGTAATTTTTACAGACAGAGTTCTGACAATTTCGAAACAAAAGACATCAAAAACATTAGTTTAGTATAGTATGTAAACTTAGCTGAAACAAAAAATTGTGTTATTCTCCTAATTTCTTGCAATTTGCAGGCTGAAATACATTTGTAAAGTTTAGAGATAAGCTAAAATTTGTAAATGAAACAATAAATCACATGAAACTGAATGGGAGCTTTTTGGTCATCTTTTCCACAAATAGTCTTATTATCAATCTATTGAAGGTATTTTAAAGCCTTCATGATTAACTAACAACCCCAATAGAACTGATAGATGAATAAAACAAATGGGCAAATGAATATGCAATGTAAATATTGATATGAAATATAGGAAGCTAAAATAATGGATAGGCCTAGTTGCAAATTTTGTTTTGCAAATTTAGACTTAATAGAAAAATACCTTGCAAAATAAGTTAGCTTAACAAAAACATTGATCTATACTTGTGGTAAATATCCACATGATTGGATTGTCCTTACTAAATCTAGCAAACAAGGGTTTTGAAAGAAATAATTTGATCTTGTAAATTTTCAAATACATTAAAAACAAAAATAAATAAATAAAACTGTTTAATTAACAAGGTCAGTAACATAGTTGACTTGTCTCTGGTAATTTTATAACAGCTATAAGTAGTAAAAAGGTACTTTCAACTATAAGTGAAGTCAGTAGAGCTTTGAGTTTGACTTTAATTGTGTGTAAAAACAGTGTTATTGCATGTGATAATAAACAAAAAATTGAAGAATTACTTTAAGCAAGTTTTGGCATTCCCTATCCATTAACTACAACCTTATTGTCCTAATCATAATATGGTAACAATGCTCTTAAAGGGCTTAACAGTTTCTGAATATGCTGCTAAATGTCTGGAAAGTTTAAGCTCTCAAATCTGTTGGTTTGGAAAATAACACTGCTATCTCCTCCATCCATCTCCAGTGAGCAGCACCAAGATTTGGCATTCATTAAATCAAGAAGATTCTCTGCAAATGTTCAACTCGTAACAATTGATTACTGAAAAGGCTGAGAGTTTGGTTTGGTTGCATAAAATGATCCTGCTCGCTGATTTTATGTCCAAAAATGGCCTTTGTTGCCTGTCACTTCTCCACATAGTGCAACACCATTAAGGCTGAAAACCCTGTCATTGCCATAAAATGTTCTCGAGATTAACATGAGTCGTGTCTGCTTGGCAATAAGCTATTCCTTGCATTTTACTTACAGAGAATTACCTCCCATCTCGTGGAACTAGGCATAGCAGTGCCGCCATCGATGCCTCGCATTCGCGTTCACGAAATAACACCGGGCGGTTCTGATGATTATAATGATGGTCATGCCCTCCCGAAATGGCATGACTAGCCTTTGTTCTCTCCTGCGTCACTCCTATTGTTAGGCATGACCAAACATAGGGAACCAGCGTTATGGGCATGACTAAAACACAGGGTTTGGTCCTGCTCATAGTTATGGGCATGACTAAATTGGAAACCCTCTGTTTTAGTCATGCCCGACAATAGAAGAGCGCCTTCGGAGGGCTCCATATTCTTGCGTGGAACCATAGGGTTTCAAAGGCGAATGGCCTGAGCTATTTCATCATGAGAATAGGACTTTATTCTTACGAAAATATAATTTTTTGAAAAATGTTATCTCTGGAAATAGATGGTCATGCCCGGCATGACAAGCATGACCGCTAGCTACGCCACTGCAAACTGCTCTCACTTGTGGAATAAAATCAACACTTGCTGTTGAATCAGAAAGTGTTGTCACAAGGAACTGAACGAACATCGAGCATTTCCCCAGGGCCGCCGAAAGCAAGGCCGGGCCCAGCTCAATGCTTGGAATCCTATCTAAAATG